AGAATTGAAAACTGAAATGGAGGCAATGAAGAAAACACAAGCCGAGGGCCAGCTGGATATGGAAAATCTAGGTAAACAAACAGAGACTTCAGGAACAAGCATAACCAATAGAATACAAGAGATAGAAGAACGAATCTCAGATTATGAAGACACCATAGAGAAAATAAATGCTCTGACCAAAGAAAACAGCAAATCCAACAAATTCTCATCACAAAACATTCAGAAAATATGGGGCATAATAAAAAAAACCAAATCTAAGAATAATAGGAGTAGAAGAAGGAGAAGAATTGCAGATCAAAGGTCCAGAAAATATATTCAACAAAATTATAGAAGAAAACTTTCCCAACCTAAAGAACGATATTCCTATGAAGGTTCAAGAAGCATACAGAACACCGAATAGACTGTATCAGAAAAAAAACACATCCCCTTGCCATATAATAATTAAAACACAAAGCACTCAGATTAAAGAAAGGATATTAAGAGCTGCAAAGGAAAAAGGTCAAGTAACTTATAAAGGTAAACCTATCAGACTTACACCAGACTTCTCTATGGAAACCATGAAAGCCAGAAGGTCCTGGATAGAGGTACTGCAGAAACTAAGAGACCATGGATGCAAGCCCAGACTACTATACCCAGCCAAGCTATTGTTCACTATCAATGGATATAACAAAATATTCCAGGATAAAAACAAATTTCAACAATACGTAACTACTAATCCAGCCTTACAGAAAGTATTAGAAGGAAAATCACAACCTAAGGAATCCAACATTCCCAACACTGCCTACAATAACTCAGACATCTAGCGACCCTTCACAAGCACAACTCAAAGAAGGAAAACACATACACTCTACTACCCAAAAAAATGACCGGAGTCAACAACCACTGGTCATTAATATAACTTAATATCAATGGACTCAATTCACCTATAGAGGCACAGACTTAGAGATTGGATACGAAAACAGGATCCAACATTCTGCTGTTTACAAGAAATACACCTCAACCACAAAGACAGACACCTACTCAGAGTAAAGGGTTGGGAAAAGGTTTTCCAAGCAAATGAACCTAAGAAACAAGCGGGTGTGGCCATTCTAATATCTAACAAAATCGACTTCAAACTAAAATCAATCAGAAGAGATGGAGATGGACATTTCATACTCATAACAGGAACAATTCATCAGGAAGAAGTCTCAATCCTGAATATCTATGCCCCTAATATAAAGGCACCCACATATGTAAAAGAAACTCTTCTAGAACTCAAGGCAGTCATCAAACCACACACACTAATAGTAGGAAATTTCAACACTCCTCTCTCACCAATGGACAGGTCAATCAGACAGAAACCTAACAGAGAAATAAGAGAATTATTGGAGGTATTGAATCAAATGGACTTAACAGACATCTATAGAACATTCCACCCAAATAGGAAAGAATATACCTTCTTCTCTGCAGCTCATGGAACCTTCTCGAAAACTGACCACATACTCGGTAACAAAGCAAACTTCCACAGATACAAAAAAATATTAGTAACCACCTGTGTCTTGTCAGATCACCATGGATTAAAATTAGAATTCAACAACAATGCTAGCCCCAGGAAGCCAACAAACTCATGGAAGTTGAACAGTCAACTACTAAATCACCCCTGGGTCAAGGAAGAAATAAAGAAAGAAATGAAAGTCTTCCTTGAATTTAATGAAAATAAAGACACAACATACTCAAACCTATGGGACACTATGAAAGCAGTGCTAAGAGGAAAGTTCATAGCACTAAGTGCCCAATTAAAGAAAATGGAGAAAGCACACATTGGAGACTTAATAGCACACTTGAAAGCTCTAGAAAAAAAAGAAGCTGATTCACCCAGGAGGAGTAGAAGACTGGAAATAATCAAACTGAGGGCTGAAATCAACAAAATAGAAACACAGAAAACAATCCAAAGAATCAATGAAACAAAAAGCTGGTTCTTGGAGAAAATCAACAAGATCGACAAACCCCTATCCAAACTAATCAAACGGCAGAGAGAGAACATGCAAATTAATAGGATCAGAAATGAAAAGGGGGACATAACCACAGACACAGAGGAAATTCAGAGAATCATTAGATCTTACTATGAAAGTTTATATGCCACAAAGTTGGAAAATGAAATGGACATTTTTTTAGATAAGTACCATATACCAAAGTTGAACCAAGACCAGGTGAACAATCTAAATAGACCTGTTAGTCGCGAAGAATTAGAAGCTGTTATCGAAAATCTCCCTACCAAAAAAAGCCCAGGACCAGATGGTTTCAATGCAGAATTCTACCAGAACTTCCAGGAAGAGCTAATACCTACACTCCTTAATGTATTTCACAATATAGAAACAGAATAGTCATTGCCAAACTCTTTTTATGAAGCTACAGTTACCCTGATACCAAAACCACACAAAGACACAACCAAGAAAGAGAATTACAGGCCAATCTCACTCATGAACATTGACACAAAAATTCTCAATAAAATACTTGCAAACCTCCCTCAGGACCCAGCAATTCCACTCTTGGGAACATACCCAAGAGATGCCCTATCATACTACAAAAGTATTTGTTCAACTATGTTCATAGCTGCACTATTTGTAATAGCCAGAACCTGGAAACAACCTAGGTGCCCCTCAATAGAAGAATGGTTAAAAAAGGTGTGGAACACCTTTAGAGTGTTAGAGTTTTACTCAGCGGTAAAAAACAATGACATCTTGAATTTTGCATGCAAATGGATGGAAATAGAAAACGCTTTACTGAGTGAGGTAACCCAGACCCAAAAAGAGGAATATGGTATGTACTCACTCATAAGTGGATTCTAGCCATAGTTAAAAGTCTTTGAGTCTATAATTTGTGATCCTAGAGAAGCTAAATAAGAAGGTGAACCTGAAGAAATCATATAGTTATCCTCCTGGATATTAGAAGTAGTCAAGATTGCCAGGCAAACTTGGGTGCACGGGGGGTGGGGGGGAAGTAAGGGGAGATGGTTAAGGAGAGGGGGAGGATTGGGGATGGCTTGGGGGAATGGGAGGGGGGAGGGAGGAAGGATGGCTATGGGAGCAGGGAAGTTTGTATCTCAACTAAGGGAGCCATTTTAGGGTTTGCAAGAGACTTGATTCTGGAGGGGTTCCCAGGCCCAAGGAGAGGTCCCCAGATTGTACTCTGGGCAGCAGAGGAGAGGGTGCCTGAACTGGCCTTGGCCCATAACCATACTGATGAATATTTTGCATGTCACCACAGAACCTTCATCTGGCGATGGATGGAGATAGAGACAGAGACACATATTGGAACACTGGACTTAACTCCCTAGGTCCAAATGAGAAGCAGAGGGAGGGAGATCGTGAGCAAGGAAAGCAAAATCAGAGGGGGCCTTCATCCGACGATGGATGGAGATAGAGACGGAGACCCACAGTGGAGCACTGGAAGTCAGGACCGCGAAGGGTGCATTCACCCACTGATACAGGGGGACTGATCAAAGGAGAGCTCACCAAGGCCAGCTGGACTGGGACTGAATGAGCATGTGATCAAACCGGATTCCCTGAATGTGGCTGACATGGGGGCTGACTGAGCCCCCAAGGTCCAAATGAAGACTGAGAAGCCATTGACAATGGCACTGGGTCTTGTTTTGTCTGCATGGACTGGCTTTTTGGGATCCTGGCCTGTTTGGTTGCTCACCTTCCTGGACCTGGAGGGAGGGGGGAGGAACTTGGATTTCCCACAGGGCAGGAAACCCTGACTGCTCTTGGGAATGGTGAGGGAGGAGGAGAGGGAGTGGGGAGTGCAGGAGGGTATTGGGAGGAGGGGAGGAAGTGGAAAGAGTGTTTTCGGATACTTGAATAAACAAGTCTAACTAAAAAAAGAAAAAAGAAAAAAAGAAAATGCTCTACAGGCTTGCCTACAGCCAGATCTTATGGAAACATTTTCTTAATTGAGGAAAGTTCCCTCTTCAGGTGACTCTAGCCTGTATGGTTGATACAAAAAAACTAGCCGATACATCCCTTAATGTCTTAATGAGTTTAATTGTAAAATACCTCTTGTTTTTTGCTGGGGAAGGAACTCAGTGGCAAGCGCTCTACCACTGAACTGCACCCTCTGCTCTTAGAATCCTGCATTTGTTAATAAAATGCAAGTGACGTTTATTTATTTAGGTATTAGGGAAAGAAGTCATAGAGTGTTGTGTGTATTGTGAAAGCTCTGTACCACTGAGCTATCCCCCCAGCTCTTAATTCTAATTCAAAACTTCTAAACCAAAACAATTCCTAAATATTGTGATGTTCAAATGAAAACAAAGGTTCGACGTTACATCTCAGACTATTTTCGATTTAAGAAGTTACCTCGTTGGTGCACAGACCCTCTGAGGCTCGAAGCATGATGCATAAAATTTTCCCAAGGAGTGGCTGCCACCCCATCCTTCTACTCATTTCCAGTCGAAGAACTATTGCTCTGTTAACCACAGTATCCTGAGAGCCCAACCCCGGGTCTGGCACAGTAAACATTCAGCCAAGTGTACCCAATGTCGCCTACACTTCCTGGGCAGGCAGCTGTCTGGTATATGCAATAGGAAAGTAACAGATGACCGCCTGCCTAGGGTGAGCCATCTCGAAGTGGTCCAGCCTTTGACTTGGAGTTTCCTCTGATCGGAGGGGCTTCCTTCTGTGGCGCCTCGCCTTTTTGGAAGAAGACTGATATCACCCTCTTACTCAGAGGTGAATCGCCTCTGTGCAATCCACCTGTCTAGTCAGGCTTACTCCCTCACTCTGCATAGACAGACAGTTGCAGACAGGAAGGGATTCTCCCAGGCCCCCCGGCTATGCTATTTACCTAGCAGGCAGGAGAAACAATTGGGTTTTTCGACCCATGGCGAGGGCTTCAGAGTATCCAGAACCCTGGAGGTGTCCAGGAGAAGCCATATAAAAGTGGAGACGGGAGGGGTGGAGTGTGTCCCAGGCTGCTTGGCTCCTGCCAGGAGCTGCCCTGCAGCTCTCTACAACCCCTACTGCATCTGCAGCCTTCGCCTGCTCCGCGCGCAAGCAAGACCTAGCAGGCTGGGCTGGACGTGCCACCGCCTGCCCGCCGCGGCGCTAGCCTGCGCCGAGACGCTGCGGTCCCAGGACAGTGCTGGGCGGCGGACTCTAGGCGCACTCACTGGCTGTCGCCAGGGCCCCGCAGCGTCACCCGGCCCACCGCAGCCTTGTGCTGTCCCGCGAGACCCCGACTCGCCCAAGGCGGGCTCTGGGGACGCAGCTCTCCACGTGCAGCCTGCAGACTGGACGCCGCGGACTCCATAGCAGGTGAGATCTGGGGCTTCCGAGTAGGGACCGCCAGGCTGTGATCCGCAACGTGAAGACTTGGGATCCCTGTCCCCTTCTTTTCTGCAGCTCTGTGCAGTTAAATGATCTTTGAATTGCAATAACTTTTCCTGGATGTGATCACCTTCTCGGGCCCAGTAATCTGGCCGCACAAATTTACTCTTCGGTTCAACTCCGGCTGTTGTCGTTAATGGGCGAGGGGCAGGTGGCTGACCACCAGTATACGCCAAGGGCCCCGGGACACCCTCCAGAACAGAGCCTCTTTTCTTCCCCGCATTCTCTTTGAACCGGGACGGGGGGGTGATCTTAAGGCGGCTTTTACCTCCTGTTTTGGTCTCCTTGGGTGCGCTTCCAGGCTGAAGTTGACTGCACAAGTAACAACTTGTTGAGGAGGAGAACTTCAGGGCAAAATGAAGGCACAGAGAGATAGGAAAGGAATGTGGGGAAACCAGATCGTCTTCATTTTAGGAGGAATTTTCGTTGTAAAAGATCTGTCGATTGTCTATGCAAACGTTTTAATCACTCCAGTCAGGAAAACTAAGGACTCTGTGTCTGGAGACCCAGGAAACGAGCAGCAAGAAACCATCTTTTTTAAGACCAAAATTATTTACGCATGTGCAAAACGTTATTTAAAAACCCAGCCTCAGAAAATAGCATTTTGGAGACCATAAGGCTCTTCAAGCCCTTCCATGATAGGTTGACCATCAAGAGGGTGTTTTCATTGTCTCTTTGTTGCTGATCTGTTTGTAGAAATGATCTATGTTAGTAAAAGCTAGAATTTCATTCATGTGATTTCCTCCTGTTACCCAGGACATTTCTCAGAGCAATGGTTAAGTTTGGAATATATAAAGGGGATGGATTCATGTTTGGGTTCCCTCATCGGATTGAATGTGATTTAGAGCATGTGGCCTACCTTCCCTCCGCCCAAGTTTCCCCAATTTTCAGATGAGTGTTGGTGAGAGTGGAGGACCTGATGCTGGGATGGTAGCTGATGCACACCAGAAAGGCTCCTGCAGGCTGATGAGGATGCAAGAAGTTGCCCTGAGGGCCTCTGTTTTGAGGGGCACATCACTGCGTCCTTGCACTGCGCCCCTGGGATACTTCCAGTTATGAAACACTCCTGAACTCTTGAATATGATTCAGACACCTGCAGTCTGTACTGCATGTTCAGATTCCAGTAGATCCATCTGTGGACTTGTGGTAGTTAATGTATCTGGTGTATTTTTGAGATTTGCTTAGTGCTTACAATATACACCATGTGAGATGAAAACGTGGTGTGACATTAGTGGTTTAATTACCCACCAATTATTATGAAAACAGTGCCCCTTAGACGCCATCACCAACCCAGCTTCATACTGGTCTGATAGGCAGAAGTGGGTACTGAGTTCTACATCTACTTTTTCAGTTGCCTGTTGAGACACAGAGTGGAAGCCACAGACGCTGGATGGGCCTCAGAGTCTCTGGCTCTACCCCACACCAAAGATCCCCTGAGACCTCTGTCACGGCCAAGAGTGCAATGGGTCCCTCAGGATAGGCCTTGAGAAGCATGGGCTGGCTTCTCATGAGCCGCCTTACACAGCCGTGTGTGCAAAGGATTCTTTACAGTCATTTAAATGACCTTTATTTAAAGCTTTTGTGAGCCACCATGTGGGTGCTAGGAATTGAACTCTGGACTTCTGAAGAACAGCCAGTGCTCTTAATCCCTGAGTCATCTCTCCAGCCTTTGTTTAAAGCTTTTTTAAAGTCCAAATTAGCAGTGTCATTTGAGGCAACTTCTCAAGTTTTGTTGAAGTCCCTGCCTGCTTTGGATTCTGATGTTCCTGAAACCACCAGGGCATCTGGGTCTGGGTTCTCCTTGTTTTGTCTTTCTAGTGCCTTCAGTTAGGAGGAAACCACGCATTTGAGCCTCCTACCCTACCCTATCTTCAAGACTAAATTTTTGCCTTTCACTCATGATTTTTAATGTTTTGCCAAAAATGTATTAAAAAAAAAAAAACGCTACGGAGCCAAGGTAGCACACACCTGTCATGTCAGCACTTGAGAAACCTGAAGCAGGAGGATTCCAAGGAAAAATCTTAATCAATTATGCATCAATTATTGTGTGCTTTAAAGCAGTAACTTGCTTTGGGGGCTATAGCACAGTGCTGAGATCATTTGACTAAAGTGCATAAGGCCCTCCCTAGGTTAGACACCCAGCGCTATAGAAGGAAAACAGTAGTTTAAGTAAATCTACTGTACAGCAGTGATTATGGCCGTACGCCTATGCCCTCATGCACATTAGGTTGGAGAATGACTCATATGCAGCTATTTTACTTAGTTTTTATTTTGCGGGTTCTCGTTCCGGAAGATGCCAATATTAATAGGAGGAATATAGTAACACAGATGTATTAGAGATGCTAAAGAGAGGACTTCAATGGGAAATGGTTTTAGTGAGAAGATTTTTGAACTGGCTTCACTGAAGTATAATTTGCATACGACAAAATGTGTTGAACTGTCACATTAAAATCTGTACACTTTATCAGACGCAAATTGTAATCTTGGTAAAGATGGAGGTCACTGGAAGACTGTCACGGTTTCTTTGTTTTACCAAAATAGTTCAAAGAAAGTCAAGAAAAACTAGTAGGAAGGGAAAATTAAGATTGATACATTATGTGGGCAAAGAAAATACATACCTCAGTGGAGAAAAGAAAATACAGAACTTGAAATAGTTGGGATTTTTTTAGAAGTTTTGTACATACATTTATGATTCTAATTTAGTATCTAGGTACCAGAAACCTTGCAGAAATTTTTGAACAAGAATCTAAAACAAAATATAAAAGTAAAAAGCAATGGCCTTTCTCTGACAACCTGCTGGCACCTTCCACTTCCACTGCCATTCTGACCTATGCTTGTCCTTGTCCCTAAAGACACCTGCCTGTGCCACAATGATGTCACCCGGTGACTTCGCATCTGCCTCTTGGGAGCTTGTGGTCCTAGTTGATCGTGCAACGGAAGAGCAGCAGCAGACAGAAATCAAGCTGAGGGTGTCGGGGGACCTGCATATCGGAGGAGTGATGCTCAAGCTGGTGGAAGAGATGAGTAAGTCATTCGTTCTCCATGGTTTTTCTGCTTTTGACCCCTCTCTGTTACTTCACCATTCCATGGCTGGCCCTAGATTTCCTGAGAGCATATTCCTCTTCCCCGCCCCTGGTTTCTCCCAGGAAGAGGAGAGGGACCGTGTGAGAGCTTCCAATGGAATCCAACCACCTTTGTAAAAGCTTGAGTCTTTGGTGGCACACTGGAGTTCTCAAGGGTGGAAAACTGTTCCCCTGCAAGGCCAAGGACACCCCACCAGTGTCATTCACGGTAATCATAGGTGACACAGCACTGGAATACCGAGTCCGTTCTCTACTAATATTTGATAGCTTCATGCTAAACTCAGCTCGCTCTTACCGTGTCCTTCCATACTTGCTCACCAACAAAGACAGGGAAGTTTACTTCTGACCTTAGAATTTAATGTTTTATTTTGTATTTGAGGCCTTGAATGCTGACTTTTCATTTATACTGAGAAGAAGGTCTTTTCTAAGTGCCTCTTATGTCCGTATTCACATGACCATCATGTAAATCAAGAAGGAACATTACCCGCTCCCCTCTCAAACCCAGGCTGCTACCCACCCCATGGCCCAGTCATTATCCTGACCTCTCATTTTGTTGTTTTTGAACTTCATGTAAATGCATTTATACAGGATGTACTCTTACACAGCTGCTTTCTTTTTTAATATTTATTTATTTTTATTATGTATACAACATTCTGCCTCCATGTATGCCTGCGTGCCAGAAGAGGGCGCCAGATCTCATTTCAGATGGTTGTGAACCACCATGTGGTTGCTGGGAATTGAACTCAGGACCTCTGGAAGAGCAGCCTGTGCTCTTAACCACTGAGCCAGCTCTCCAGTTCCCAGCTGCTTTCTTTTGTTTAATATTATGGTTGAGAGAAATCCATGTTGTTGCACGTAGTTTGGGTTAATCTAATTCTGCTGCTGTACAATAGTCTATTGTGTGAACCTACCACATTTTATCCACTTGTCCATTGATGAACTTTTGAATTATTTCCATTTTCATTTCATAGAGGCGGTTGAATATATGATCATTATCTCTTGATAGATATTTCTGCTGAAGACTCTGTTGTTATAAGAAAAGTACCTGAGTATAGGCAACTGTAAAGAAATAAGAGTTATATCAGCACATGGTTTTGGCTAAAGGTCTAGGGACTGCATCTGATGACAGAAGCCTGAGGGACAGCACAAGGCATCATATAGTTTGAAGCAAAGGGTGTGTGTGTGTGTGTGTGTGTGTGTGTGTGTGTGTACCTGGTTCCCCTGCCTCTTCTTATAAAGCCACTAGATTCGACCAGAAGGTCTGTACTTTAATGGCCATGCCTAACCTTACATACTTTCCAGAGGCTCCAACACAGTGATCAGATTAAGTTTCCACCCTCTCCTTTCCTAACAGTGGGGATCAAATCCCAACTCGTAAAGTCTTGGGGGACACTCAAGCTGTATCCCAACCACGACAGATAAAGTCTATGCCACAGAGAACAATTACTGATTCATCGCCTTCCAAAATAATTCAATGCTTCCACTAAGAGCATCAAGAGGAGGGCTTTCTAATTAAAGAAGAGGCAAAACTCTTTTCTCACAGAGAAAAATAACAAGTAAGTTAGAATGGTGATGTCTCTTCATTTAGCAAAATAAAGGGTAAGACTGACTTCACACTGGCGAAGGGAGATTCCACCTTTGATATCACGTTGAAGGCAAGTCTGGGTGTAGATGCCACGCTGAAAGGGAGAATGAGCGGCTCGGCTGTCAGTGTGGCTGCTTTGCGAACTGCGAGTACAAGGCTGCTAGAGGAGCTGGACGTGGCTGAGCAGCGTGAACTGTCAGCTTTCCGTGTTTCCGCGTGGCCTGTGGAGACTAGCGTGCTCCCTTGCGATCCGTAATGAGAGGGTTCATTTCTAGCAGCGGTTAAGATAACAATCAAGAATGATGCACACAGTGACTGGGGGAGTGGTTTAGAGTTCATCAGAACAGAAAATTTACTTTATGCTGTTTTTATGATACTTAAATGTAAATGAGGGTAGAGTTCACACACCATTTGTTCCCTGCCCTCCTGGGAGACTTTGGAAGGAGCCTTGAACCATAAAAAGAGATTGCAAGCTAAAGTGAATATACTGTGAATTCCAGTGACTACACCGAGGTGGCTGGAGGCTGTGTGCTCAACCTCCCCTCAGAAGCTTAACCGCGTTTTCTGCTTTTGCAGACATAGCCCAAGACTGGTCAGACTTCGCTCTGTGGTGGGAGCAGAAGCGCTGCTGGCTTCTGAAAACCCACTGGACCCTGGACAAGTGTGGAGTCCAGGCTGACGCCAAGCTCCTCTTCACCCCGCAGCATAAAATGCTTCGCCTTCGCCTACCCAACGCCAAGACCGTGCGACTGCGAGTCAGCTTTTCGGCTGTGGTGTTTAAGGCCGTTGCCGATATCTGCAAAGTGCTGAGTGAGTGCCCTGCGGGGCCTCTGTGCCCTTTAGACTCTTGGCAAAGGAGAACAGGAAAATTACCTGTGCTTTCCGCCTGCCTCGCGCACTGGCTGGAGAACCCTCCTTTACAAGGAAGCAAACTCCCCAGCCCAGTGCAGACCACTGCAGCCGTTCAAGTGGAAAGAAATGAAAGGAACACTGTTTGCATAAGTCAGAGCCATTTCCACGCCACGCGCTTGCAATTGTTTAAAATACACTTGTAAGTAGAAGTGGTCATGTTGAGGGTTCTTCTCCAAGCCCTTTTCTCCAAAACACACTCAGATGTTTAAGACAAACCAAAGAATGAGAGTTTTGTTGAATCCTTCATAACGACACATCGCTGTCTTTGGGATGGTGGTACTTCATGCTTCAATTCCTTCCTTAGTCCTTGGCTCCTGTAAATAACTCTATCTACAGAAGTCATTAGGATGAGACCTTATCAGTATGGGGCTTGCCTTGCCAACCCCCAGAACCCATGTTTTTAAAAAGATGGACACAACGGCACACACTTGTAATCCCAGCAATGAAAAGGCAAAGGCACACAGATCCCTGGGGGCCACTGGCCAACCAGCCTGCCCTAATTGGCAAGGTCCAGGCCAGTGAGAGACCCTGTCTCAAAAAAGGCAAGGTGGATGACTTCTGGGGAATGACACCAAGAATGTCTGCTGGCCTCACACACATGTGCACACAGGTGTATGTGTACCTGTATGCACACAAATATCTGCGTATATACCACACACATACACATACAAAAATTATTTGTGGATAGAAGCCTAATCTTTTTTTGTTGTTGTTTTAAAATATGATCTTATTTTGTGGTCAAGGCTTATGTCAAACTTGTGATCCTCCTGCCTCAGCCTGAAAAACACCGGGATCACTGGTATGTGCCACCAGGCTCACCTGATGAATTAGTGTCTCATGGTATAGTATCACAGATACAACACTACCTGATTAGTTCTCTCTTTATGATCCACCGTGGAAAGAGGGGCCCCTGAGGCCATGAGTGGTTATTTTTCTTGTTTTTTGAAAAAGTGTGGGTGCCTTCTTTGACCCCAAGAATATTGGTGGCATCACCACCCAGCACGTGAACGCAGAAAATTACACATCACTAAGTAGTCGCTGTCCTCCATTAAACAATAAACTGCTTTATTCGTTCACCCAACAAAATGCTCATTGAGCCCTACTGTGCAGCCGATAGTAGGTGAATGGTAGACAGTGTGATGAAAATCACTGAGGTCTTGCCCTTCGAAACAGGCAGAGATGGATAGCCAAGAAATAAGCAAGGAAAATAGCAGAGCATGTTGAAGCGGGATGGGTGGTAGAGCAAATGAAGGGAAGCAGCCACGGATTTAGGAATGCCCATGGGAGACATTAAGGGGTCTGAGAGCCTGAAATGGGATTAGGAAGGAAATCACTACCTCAGCGTGTCAATGTCTGGCGCACACCGGCTGCCCAGTGGCTGTTTATTGAACCAACCAATACCTGGGAACAGTCCATTGCAAAGCACAAGTTCCTGAAATGTCCCTGGCGAGGAATGGGAAATTGTGAAGTGCAAGGCCATGTTGTTGCTAGTAGTACTCTAGTGAGGATCTGAACACCAAGTAAGCCATCCCACGAAAAGGCCCTGTCCGTTCCCCCACAGGGACTCGGTGACACGTCACCGCTGAGGCCAGGCAGTCGGGTACTCTCTTCTCTCACTGTGGCTTTGAAGGCACGTGCATAGAGATCTCTGCTCCGCATCTCTAATCGTGGCTCTTAAGTCTAATCAATCAGCACTAACTCAGATTTAGCAGTATGGCGGTCTTCCCTGAAGAACGGAAGAGGCACAGATTCGGAGCAGAGGAGTTTCACTTTGTTGATTGTTTAATGTGTACACTATAATGTGTAAGTTGTTAGGTGTGCATAAAATAGACATTTGGGAAGACTCCAGGTGTGGTATAGCCTGCGAGTCAGGCTTCCTGGATGATAGAGAGAGCCTTGTTGCTCTTGCCTCAGGGCGCCTCGCAGTTCACGAACTGGCTCGATTAGAGAATCTTAAGGGAGCGGTACCAGGACCATTAAAACAACCGCTTCCTTGGATTAAAGTTGTTCTGTGGGTTATCAGTTCTGATCTCAGTTGCTCTCTTGGATGACTCAGGAAGGGTTGTCGCAGCTGAGTTCTTCAGAAGCCAACTCTGAGATAAGGAATCGAAAACTGAGGTCCCAATACCTGGAGATACCATGTGGAATTCAGATACAGGGAAGAGAGATTGTAGACATCTGGCTTCCACTAAGAGTGTCACACTGAGGGCATCCAGGACCTCTGAGAGGCAGTGTGTAGACACAGCCTCTGGGCTGTCGTCCCCCAGGAGAGTGAAGAAGCCTACCACCAAAAGCACCTTTTTGGAGAGCTCAAATCCTCTCACATGGACAGGGCTAACCACCACAGAACATGGCTAACCGCCAGCAAAAGCTCTTAACAGACACACAAATGCTCTCAATACTGTATGTCAGGTTGGCACACAATGAAATGACAGAGACCCAGGAGGCAAGGTGGGACGTGAGGACACCTCTACAGGGATGGCAGGAAATGATGGGCATTGTGTGGGGGAGATAAAAAAGATTGCAGAGTCAATTGTCACAAAGAAAAAAAAAGGATGTGGGGCCCTTTGTGGTTTTTTTACAAAACCAAAGAGAGAGACAGAGAAAGGAGCAAAGGAAAAGAGAAATACTGCCTATCCGTGGCGGGCACAGGAGCTGCACAGCGCTGGCGGTGGTTGGAGCTGAATAGCAAACACACAGAGAGGGCGTTACACCGTTCCCTTTGCTCTGGGTGTATTTAAAACATCTTCATCACAAATTAAAACACAAACTAGAAACTGCACTAGACTGAACCTTCTGCTACTCTTTGTCCTTATCCAGTTAGAGGGTCTTTGTCCCCTCAAACGGGATGCAGCGGCTTCCATCTGCAACCACAATCCCCTAAGACCCGTCAAATACACCCAGCAGCTGAGTCTCAGGAGGAATCCTTTTTCTTTTTAGTGTTCTCCCTTTTTGTTTGTGTTAGTTCTTACTTTGTTTTATTTTAGATATTAGAAGACCCGAGGAACTTTCACTGTTAAAGCCTGCTGGTGACTATTCTAAGAAGAAAAAGAAGAAAGACAAAAGTAGTAAAGATTCTTTGATGGATGATGTCCTGAGCCTGGACAGCTCTTCAACAAGTTCGGGTTCCCCAGGTACAGGGCTGTTTCAAATGTGACTGTAGACCTCAAATGAAAAATCAATAAATACTTCACTCTCTCTCTTTTTTCTCTCTCTCCCCCTTCTCTCTCTCTCTCTCTCTCTCTCTCTCTCTCTCTCTCTCTCTCTCTCTCCTCTCTCTCTGTCTCTCTCTCCCTCCTTTCTCTCTCTCTCTGTCTCTCTCTCCCTCCCTCCTTTCCTCTCTCCTTCCCTCCTTTCCTCTCTCCCTCCCTCCTTCCCTCCCTTCCTCTGCCCCTTTCTTTCCATATATATAGCAGCTTATGAACTGACAGCACAAGTGGACCTAAGGAAGCCCCCCTAGGACCCTTAAAGCAGCAGAGCGGTCTATGTCTCCCCTCTCTTCCTCCCTCCCCCCACTTTCTCTCCAAACAAAGAAGGATCAATGCTGCTGAAGGATTAACTGACAAGTTAAGAAGGAGATATATAGTTACATTTCGAAATTATTTTATACTTAGACTTTTACCTTAGGTATGCTTAGCAACTCATAATTTTAATTGGATATCTTATGCTGTAAAATACTAGCACTTCCAGCCATGAATTGTGGATGATAAAGTGATAAAGTACATTTTAGAAAGAAGACAATTTGGGTAATTTCAATATATTTCTCTTTTCCTAGTTTGTCTTTGTGCGGCTCTGTCTTCTTCTTCTTCTTCTTCTTCTTCTTCTTCTTCTTCTTCTTCTTCTTTTCCTTCTTCTTCTTCATTTTTCACAACAGTGTTTCTCTATAGCTTTGGAGCCTTTCCTGGAACTCGCTTTGTAGACCAGGCTGGCCTCGAACTCACAGAGACCCACTTGCCTCTGCCTCCCGAGTGCTGGGATTAAAGGTGTGTGCTAACAGGCTTTTTCTTAAACATGCTTTCATTTGGCTTGTAAAGGAAAGGCAGGTAGAGATTTTTAAAACGTATACCTGTATCAAAACAACTGTCTCTTACTTTCTTGCACTATCAAGGGCTTTCTTATCTAGTCTATTCAGACACAAAGAATAAAGAGGGATCTGAGCAGTGTTCAGAGGTAGTGACCAGTTCTTAGTAAGAATAACTATTGGCTTCTTAAAAGTGGCAGATGTAGCTCTTTGCTATCTAAGACATTTTGTGCCTGTGTTCTCAGTTTGCTAATCACACCAAGAAATAGAAAACTCTGGATAATTAGAAATGACTTACCAACATTTATCTGTGTTGATTCTTGGAAACTTATATATCTTTGGGATCCTAGGACTGGAATGTCCAGACAAGATCTTTACCTGTGCACCTGATCTCCCTAGTATCCTGACTCCTGATACCTTTAAAATCAAAATTCACTTTAGTACAATCTTCTTCTAAAGATTCCTAACCCGGATCACCTATCATTTGCCTGCCTCACAGTAAGCCCGGGCTTGTACAGTAAGACCATGACACCCATATATGACCCCATCAACGGGACGCCAGCACTATCTACTATGACTTGGTTCGGTGACAGCCCTTTGACGGAACAAAACTGCAGTGTTCTGGCCGTCAGCCAACCTCCTCCATCAGCAGATGTGCTCGCTGACATGTTCCAGCCTCGATCTTTGGTAGACAAAGCCAAGATGAATGCAGGGTAAGGAGGACTCCATCTTTCTCCTGTCTGAACAGGTGTTCATACACTAAGAGGTATTAAAGAAATGGGGGCTATCTAATTTTTTAATTACTAGGCATGGGCATTATGCTTCCCTAGCAAAATTCAAAGTGCTAACTTTAAAAGGAAAAAGGGATGTACACAGACTATGGTGATCTCAGTGCCTTAAAAGGGTGAGAAAACTGTCTTCAAATAACTTGATGGCTTCCCATCCATGTCTGTGACTCTCGAGCTGTTGCAGGTGTGAAAAGAGTGCCGGGGGATGCAGAGTGGTAAATACATACACACACACACACACACACACATCATATGTATGTATGTATGTATGTACATATATATACATATATATATATATATATGGTGGTACATGTCTATAATCCTCAGAAAGCTGAAGTAAGAGGATCACAGGTCCAAAGCCAGCTTGGACTACATAGTAAGATTCAGGAAGGAAGATAGAAGGAAGGGAGGAGGAGAGAGAGAGGGAGGAAGGAAACACTATCAAACAGCACTCCTAGCTCCTTCACTTTCATATGTCAATGAGAAAACTTTTTATCATAAAAATTGTAACATAGCTAGGTATGGTGGCATATGCCTTTAATCCCAGAACATGGGAGGCAGAGGCAGGTGATTCTCTGTGAGTCTGAGGCCAGCCTGATATCCAAAGCAAGTTCCAGGACAGTTAGGGCTGTTACACAGAGAAACCCTGTCTGGAGAGGTGGGGGACTGTAAGGTAAAGAGCAAATATAAGCTATTTTGTGCTCACTGGTTTTGTTGATATGGTTTACTCTGTCCGTGCTCTTGGATTTATGTAAGGTGCAATCTGTAACACAGCATGGTGGGTAGATGGGAAAAGTGGGCTGGTTTTTAAACCCTACCCTCTTGTTTCCTAGTTGGCTGGATTCCTCCAGATCCCTTATGGAACAAAACATTCAAGAGGATGAGCAACTGCTATTAAGATTTAAATACTACACCTTCTTTGACTTGAATCCTAAAGTAAGAAATTTTTCTTTTGTTTCATTTTGTTTTCCTTTTGTGTTGTGTGTGTGTGTGGAAGTTCTACACTTTACATTTTGTTATCAAGGCCAGAGCTCATTTTCGTGAGCTCCTCTTCCCTGCAGGTTGGACTGGAGCAGGTATACCTGCTTCTGAACTTTCCTCTTTGCCTCCTAGAGCAGGCTAAACAGCGTTAGCAGGAGTGGCCCGGGGTCTTTGTACCCAGCATGGTGCACACAGCCTCTCAACGTTCACAGAAACAAGAAGGGAGTGAAGTGCCCACAGAGCTAGAGTCTGCCATGGCTTAGGAAGGAAAGGAGGTATCCGTGCTATGTTGAAGACATGTTCTTAGGCGCAAACCAGGACCACAAGGTGATCCACACAAGACCCCCTGCTGCAGTGTTAAAATGCCCTTAAGGAAAAGGGATCATCTGTCTAATAGCCCTGCTCATCACCAACTCCAATTTTAAGGCAAATCTTCACCTAAAGCTTATTAGGAAAATTAATGAGGGGTGAGATGAGTCCTTTGGATTTCTACGGTTTTCCTCCTTCCAGCCAGCCATTCTGTGGAGTTGAGCATCCGCAGCTGAATGAGCCCTTGTAGAAAATACAAAATGAAACACTGTAATCTCTAGGGGGCCAGGCAACCTTGCTGCAGCAGCCCCACCCAGGAAATGCGCCTACTGCTCGTCTTCACTCTGCTCTGAGCATTTATGTGAGGAACTTCCTTCAACCTTTCTCGACACTCCTCCCCCTGCAACCACATCTCTGCCTTCTTGGTTGATGTGTGTCTGTCTTTCAAAAGTCCATCTCAGTTCCCTAACTTCCCTATTTAACTTCTTCCAAAAAATAAAAAAATCTCCTCACTCCTTATTTCTTTTTAGGGGTGTGTGTGTGTGTGTGTGTGTGTGTGTGTGTGTGTGTGTGTGTGTGCTTACATGTACATGTATGTGTCTGTGTGCATGTGTGTGCACATATAGACGCCAAAGTGAACATTAGGCGTCGCCTTCTACTAGTCTCACCTTATTTTTGAGACAAGGTCCCTGACTGAACGCCGAACTCACCAAATTTAGTTAGACTGCTTAGCAGCAAGCCTCTGGGACCTCCTGTCCTGCCCATCTCTGGGACTACAGAGAGAACCACCAACCGTGCTGGGTGCTGGGGATCTGATCTCAGGTCCTCATGCTTGCTCGGCAAGCACTTTGCTGACTGGACCACCTCCCCCCAAGCCTTATTGCTGTCGTTTCTATGGAAAACTCTGCCCAGCTGAAAGTTGATGGGTCTGTCCTGTGTGTGGAATGCATGACTCCCAGTAAATTGTGACAAAACAGGAAATTTTGTCTTTTCAGTAAAAGTGTTCTGGGATGATGAACATGTCACTCTCCTAAGCAACTGTTTTGCTTTGCTTTGTTTTTTTAACGTCCTTAATGAACACTAATTATGCTTTCTTTTTTGCATTGTCTACTAAATACAAATTATACATTTCTGTGATTTCGTTTTTTGTTGTTTTAAAAGCACTTTATAAATTGCAAATATTTCTACCATACAAAAAGTAAAAAAAAATAGTATTTAGCTTAAAGTAAAATATTTTTCTTTTTCCACTATTATTATGACACATATATGAATAAATATGTAAGTCAATCTGCTAGGTCCATTTGTGGTGTTAGGAGATATTTAGGGCAGATCACTTGGTACTGGATAGCTGATTAAGGGACTCATCCCTGAGGAAGACTAATTCTCTCTCTCCCAGTAGACATTGATGGTTTGTTGATCATCTTCTATGGATGAGGCACCATGAGACTTCACCCATCTACGCTGAGATGTCAACTGTTATTAGAATTGTACAGATCTTGTTTGGGCAGCTGTATTGTTGAGATTTGGTGGGTATGTCTTCTCTGTCATATCTGGAAGACATAGTCTCATAGCAGACTTTTTGGTATCTGGCTCTTACAATCTTCCAGAGCTTTCTGGGCCTTAGGTGTAGGAGATGTATTGTAGATGTATCAGTTGCGTCTGGCACCCCGTAGTTAATTGTTCTCTGCATTTAAACCAGTTGTGGTCTCCATTTGTGGCAAAAAGAATCTTCTTTGATGAGGAATGAGAAATATCTGTGGGTGTAGGGATATTTAGACTGAAGTGAGGGATTATACTGGTTTAAGCAGGTGTCAGAAGTAGGTTCTCTTGAGTTTCCAGTACCAGGCGTGATTTCTCTCCGGTTGAGACTCAAGTCTCTTTAGAGAGCTGTTGGTTACTGCCAAGATAAGAGTGCCACTATTGCACCATTAGGACTATCTCACCATGCTGGTCATTGTCGTGGTTCCTAGATGCCACAGCAGGGTAGGAGTTTTAATTCCTTTTCTTCCTTGACATTTTGCATAGCACCTTCTGGTGCTGTGCACCAGGAGGGAGGTTTTCAGGTCATATCCAGTTCATAACCCTGAGAGTCCTGTGGCTGAAATTTGTAGTGTCATCAACAAGGACTTACCTTCAACTTCTGGGAGCAACCAAGGATGACATCTATAGCCTATATTATTTTATGAGTCTCTTGAACTCCCCTGACTAACAAGTCAAAAGGAGTTTTCTCATGCCCGTTGCTGGAGATTTTGTGATTTCATTTTTAAGTCTGATCCTTAGTTCAACGTGAGTCTTTCTTCACTTAGTTCCCAACTAACCTATGTTGTTCTGTGCTTTCTGTTTTAATAACCTAACTGAAATGGTTCACAAAACTAGATAAATGTTAATAGAAACTATATTCAGTCAGTTTTAAATGCTAAGTCAATATTCTGGCCCCATTTTGTCTATTCAAATGTTTCCCCATCTGTTTGTTTATTCACATATTTATAAAGCAACTATTATTATCCATGAACTAAGTTGCACACAGGGAGTCCAAACCCATCAGACAGTAAAGCAGATGCATAAGTCTACCATGTGAAACAATGAACTATACTGAGCAAAATCTTTTCCAAACTGGACATAATAACACACATATTTCTTAATTAATTGAATAAATAATAAAATCCAGGGTAGGTCCTACACAGTGATTGTAAGTCAAAATATAAATTAATCTAGCCTCTGTGGAAAGCAGTGTAGCCATATCTATCAGAATTACAACTCTACTTTGACCTGCAAATCTACTCTTTATAGCAGAGTAATATTTATGTAACTTTATACATTACTACTATAGGCTATGACTGCATAAATGCTTTTAAGAAAAGATTGGGAACTATCAGTAGAGAATTGTGTGACTATATCGTGATGCATTCATACCACACAGTTGTGTCCTGTAACTTGCTCTGTAGACCAGGCTGGCCTCAAACTCAGATTTCCCTGCCTCTGCCTCCTGAGTTCTGGGATTAAAGGTGTGCACTACCACTGCCTAGGAGTTTTGATTGTTTTTTGGTTTTGTTGTGTTTTGTTTTTTTTTTTTTTTGTTTTTTTTTGTTTTTGTTTTTGCTTAAGAGGAGACCGGTTCTAACTCTTGTGATCAAATGATCCCCCTGCTTCAAGATCCCTTGTATCTGAAATGATAAGCATGTGCCACCACACCTGTATCCATGTATTGTCGGGGTCTGGTGCTAGCTCAGACTCTAAATTATTTCTGTCGACCAGACTCCAACATAAACTATCTCTCTCTGGACCGGTGTAGAGGAGACGAAAATAAAGACATGACTCACATGGTTGCATGGGGAGAGAGATTCTCAGTGGTCCCTCATGAAGTCCTGAGTTTACATCCTGAAGAATTCCTCCTGCTTTATTTTCCAAACAGCCTTTATACCAAAACTTAATTTAGGGGAAATAGATTAGCATTCTGTCTCCTAGGTAACCAGATGAATGGCTTTTTGTCATGTCCACAACTACCTGTCTGCTCTATATGTTAGGTGTCACATAGACTTAACATCTCAATCAGGCATGCTCCAAATTACAAAGAAAGGAACAAAACCACATCCTGACCTTTGTTAGGTAGTGACGGCCTGTCTGGCAGGATATGTGACCATCCTCCGATACTGACTATGGCTTTAGAGCCTGGCTGCCATACCAAATAGAAATATGGGCCTACAATGTACACTGTACACGTGAATTTCTTTTAGTTGTTAAGTCTTGACTGACCTATAATTTATGTACCATAAAAAAAAATCATTCACTGGAATTCAGGCATCATGACACACGCCTATAATTCCAGCACTCAAGAAGCTGAGGCAGTGCGATCAAGAGTTCAAGCCTGGATTGAAAAACAATTTGCATGAAGCCCTTCCTTTCAAAAACAAAAAAAAAAAGATACTTAAAAAATAGTATGTATACTGTAAGTGTACAGTACAATGATTCTTTTGTTTGGTGGTTTGGTTTTTGTTTTGGTAAATGTATACATGCATGTAACCAACATCACAAGCCATCACACAAAGCTCCCTTCCGTCTATTTTTGGTCAGACGCTGGACCTCACCCAGCCCGCTCTACCTTCTCTTCCAGCTTTTGCCCTTTTTAGAAATGCCACGCAGATGGACATCAGTCATGTCCAGTTCACCAGGTATGCTCACAAGGCGCCATGCTGTGCTTGATGCTGAGCGGTGCCCATTGTGAGGACCAAGTACAGGTTGCTTATCCATTTTCCAGCTCAGTGAAGGTGCTTTGAGTGTCTGCTCAGGTCTGTTGTGAACGATGACGTGATGCTTATTCTCCAGTGTGTTTGTTTCCATTTGTCTGGAAAGATGGGGAGGTGAGATCCAAGGCCAGCTACATGAGATGCCTTTGTAGATCACAGAATAGAGGCAGACTTTCCTGAAAGTCTGAGTACATCACCACATTTAGATTGTGAAAGTCACATCCTAAATCCCACCCTCTTGGCTCTGCATTGTCTTCTTGTCCCAGAAACTTTAGAAATGCAGAGAAGGAACATGTCAACAAAGCATGTCATCTTTCCCACTTACCATTATCAGAGGTATTTGCTGGTTTGGGTTTGCTTCACATTTAGACACTTGTACATAGACTCCAAAAAGAGAAGACAGAGAAGAAAAAATCGTGAACACACCAAGCTACAGCATTAGTGAGGGCAGCACTGGTCAGGAAGATAGACAATAGAGAGACACAGGTCAAAGGATAGAAAGTAGCAGACACACAGGAGAGTAATTCTAGAGTGTTTACGTAAGACATGAGGACCACGGACAGTAGACTTGTATGTATTACAAGCTTTTCTTACCTTACAATTTTGATGAGTTGGTTGGTCTTTTCATAAACAAAACCATTTTACTTTCTGTATTATTATTTTTGTATTTCTTATTATTATTTTATTGTTCATATTGCTTTCGGTAATACTATTTCTATATTCCATGTTGCAAACCCTAAATATGCACAATAAGGTGTACCCAGTAAACTCATTCCAAAAGAACAAAGAGAACCCTCCTTTGCTCTGACCTTTCTCTTAAAGACAGCCACAACTTCATGACTGATACCCTTGCAGATTTCTCACTCGTTTTCTAGGCTGTATTTACCAGGTTTCCAGGACCGTGTGTTCCCTGTATAGATGGGAGCTTTTGCATGCTCTGCGCTTGCAGCTTTTTATCTAACAGAGCTATCTTCACATCAGTAGCTAAAGTCCAGGTTGCTCTTTTATCAACTGGACGATCAAAGAAAGGCTAACACATACTGTTGGGAACCATGTGTGGCAAGCCTCTTACCAGAGTGTCTGGTGAGTGCCAGCATTTCTCCTAGATACTCATCAAGTGCAAGGGGATATGAAGAGATGTGTCTGGATAGCATTCCTATAACCACAGCAGCAAAGCGAACCAGATGCACCTCATCCCACAACATCAGATACTAACAATGTCTAACAGGCCAATCCAATAGAACAGGAATTCTGTCGTCTTGTTTTAGTTTGAATCCTCTAATTTTTTTTGGTAAGGTTGGGCATCTTTTCCGGTGTTTAAATGACTATTTGGTTTTCTCTGTGGAACACCTGTTTCTGTTTGTTCTACATCCTCTTAGATTTTCTGATTTTTATATCCATTCATAGGAATGGTTTGTATTAATGAATATATTGTCTCTTCTACTTAATGAAATACAGTCTCTCGATCTTTATCTGATGAATGTATGACCTCTTGATTTTTCACTGTTGATGTTTAATTCTATGTTGTCAAGTCTACTTTATACATCATAACGTTTAGGTATCTTGTCTTCCATAGAACCTCATCCTCAGGCCAGGGAGTGGGGTTCAGTAGTAGAGCATGTGCTTAGCATGCTCCAGATTCTACACTCAGTCCCAATACCAAAAAGAGAGTAAAAACAGGAGGAAGAGGGAAAGGTGAAAAGGGGAGATCGGGAGGGGAACAGAAGGCTTCCTTCACCCATTAAAGACTGTGCATTCACCTACGGAATATGCACTGATCGATGTTTTTATGTATTCACAGAATTGTTCAACTGTGACTGCTGTCTACTTTCACAACCTTCTGTGACCCCATAGGAAGCCCTGTGCCACAATTCTGATTGCCTTTTAATCCTGCCAGCCCCAGGCAAAAGCAACAAACTAATGTTTTTATGGATTTGCCTATTGTGGCTGAGGACCTAGTTCATTTGATGGAGTTCTCATCTAACTCTGAGTTCAATCACCTGAACCACTATGCCTATAATTCTAACTCTCACGCTTAGGACATGGAGGCAGGAGGATAAGACGTTCAGGGCCATCCTCAGCTACATGTCAATTTACAGGCTAACTTGAGCCACATGAGACCCTGTGTCAAAAAAAAATGAAAAAAAGTGATACATAGAATTATAGAGCATGCAGGACTTTGTGACTAATCCCTTTCATAAAGCATGTTTTCCAAGTTCATCTATATTTTAGTATATATAAGTATTTCATTTTATTACCAAATGTTTCATTGTGTGATATACTATGTATATTCATTAATTCATCAAAGAATATCTGAACCTTATCCACATTTGACTGTCATTAATAATGCTATAATGCTATGAATACTCATGCACATTTGGGCTTTTTTTAATTCTTTATAGTGCACATATTATTCATTTACCATCTTGTCGTAAGTGGTAGCTCAGTGTTACTGAACATTCATAATGCAAGTGTTATCCATGTCCATTTCCGTTACTCTTTCAGCATCCCAGACTGCCACCCATTAAACAGTCACTCTCTTCTCCTTCCCCAGGCCCAGTGAGGTCAGAACACTTTACTTCTGACTTTCTGGATGGATGAGTCTACCTACTCTAGGTAGTGCATGGTAGTGGCATCATGTAATAGTCTTCCTTATTGCTCATTTCAAGTATTTCATCTTTGGGAATCATCCATGTTACAACATGAAACAGAATTTCCTTCCTTTTAAAAATCAAATATCTTAGTTATTTTTTGATATCTATGACAAAACACCATGACCAAAGCATTTTGTTGAAGAAAGAGTTTATTAGGAACTCTACAATTTGAGGAGGAATTGCGCCCACCGTGTTGGGAAGTGTGGCAGCAGCAGGTTAGCAGGCATGGTGCTGGAGCAGTGGCTGAGCTCTTGTGTCCTGCTACATAGCAGAAGGCAGAGAGGAGAGAGGTAGCTGGGAATGGCATGGGCTTTGAAACGTCAAAGCCTACCCTCAGTGGCACACCTCCTCCAATGGGGTGACCCCCTTCTTAACCCTTCCCAAACAGTTCCACCAACTGGGGACTAAATACTCAAACATATGAGCCTATGGGGGCCATTCTCATTCAAACCACCACATGGAATACTGCCCCATTGTGTGCACGTACTGTCTTTGACTCATCGACTTGTCCATTGATGGACATTCGTGTTGCTTCAACTCTTTGCCTGCTGTGGATAATGATGTTGTGAATAGGTGCCAAGTATCCAAGTTTTTACTTCCCCCTTTTTAAGGGAGAGGAATGGCTGGCTCCTAGTCTGTGTTTAGTGCTTTGTCTGCCCCATGTTAGAGCCAGCTGTGTACTCTCGTTCTGACCGCTCCACATCCTCTCCACCCCTGGTTACTGTTTTCAGGTTCGAACGATCACACTGATGTGATGTAGAACCCCATTGAAGTTTTGTATGATTAAATTCTTTAATCCACGGGTCAGTTAATTTGGAGTGGTGTTACTTTTTTTGTTTTAGATTTTTGTTCCTTGAATATTCATGCATTTCCATTGCTTTATATAATGTTTTTACTTTCTAGTAAATGTGCATACATGTGTAGTAGTAACTGGTGTCCATCGTAAACCAGTAACATGCTATTCTGATTACTGTGTTTGGTGTCTGGTGGTACAAGTGTCTCTTTCAAGTGTGATTCTTTTTCAAAGTTGTCTTGTCAACACTTGAGTGTTGTGTTGTATCTTCTAGTTTACCTATGAATTGGTATAAAGTTCCGTTTTAAACTTCCCCATCAGGTTCTTATTGAAATGGCAGAGTTTGGGGATCAACTTCGTCTTTCACTATCGATCATGTAGTGTGTGTTTTTACTTTCAAAAGAAACATGGTACGGAGAGCAAAAATCATGGCACAGATGATGGACTAATTTGACTGCTTAAAGAAACTCTGGGAGATGCTTAGGGAAAGTTCCTTCTGACCACAAAAGTCAAAGGAGCAGGGCAACAGGAAGTTGACTGAGCTAGACTCGAGAACGTGTGATTCCCAAAGAATAGCCCCAGTTACGCAAAAACACTTTTGCACTGTGAACAATAAACAAATGCCCACACGCATACATATATTTGTGTCTTTCTCTAGTATGACGCGGTCCGAATAAACCAACTCTACGAGCAAGCCAGGTGGGCTGTTCTCTTGGAGGAAATCGACTGCACAGAAGAAGAAATGCTGATCTTTGCAGCCCTGCAGGTTGTAGGGATGTCTGCAGCTCTCCTCAGGGGTGGGGGGCTGCAGCTCTCCTCGGGGGTGTGGGGACAAAATTGTAGTTTGTCTGGTTAAAGCCTTCTATTTGTTCCTTTGATAACAGAAATGAAAATTAAGAGAGTAATTTTCAGTGTAAAATGTTCCTCACAATCTATACGTGTGCACACACTATATAAGGCATCTATTCTGCATTTCCCGTTGCTTGCCTCTCACATGCACAGAGACAAGACAGAGCTAAGTTTAACCCCCAACTATCTAAATCTCAAAATTAGCCCAGTTGGATGTCATTTTCCTGCATAGACAGACCTCCTTCCAGATGTTCGGGATTCCAGGGAAATTCTCCTCGAAGAAGAAGACATGGTTAATGATCCACTTGTGGCTGTAACATTTCTAAAACCTCTGTCTTGAGCCAGGTGAGGTAGAGCAGGCCTGTAATCCCAGCATGTGAGAGACTGAGGCAGGAGGATCATAAAATCAAGGGCAGCTTAGGCTACCTAGAGAGACTAGCCTGAACAATTTGGCAAGATCCTGTCTCAAAAACATATATTAATTTAACTTAAGAAAAACTAAAACCTCTTGTTTGTGTTTTAGTATCATATCGGCAAACTGTCACTGTGTGCAGAAATCCAGGACTTTGCAGCCAAGTCTGAGGTTGATGAAGTGGAAGCCGCACTCTCTAGTTTGGAAGTGACCCTCGAAGGCGGGAAGGCGGATAACACTTTGGTATGAACCTTCCAGTAACTCAGAATTTGTTCTGACAAATGCAGGCTGGAACCGGAAGAACATTTCTTCCAAAAAGAAAACTACGCTGCTCGCATGACCCGCTTAAATTGAACAAGAACTGGCTTCTCTCAGGCTAGCGAGGCAAGGGACTGTGAGATAATTTCACCACCACCCATGAAAGTTTTTGTATTACGTTTCTTTTGGGGGATCAGCTGGCACAGTATGTGGGAAAACTACAGTGGGCTCCCCTACACTGGCACAGAACATGCCCTTGATGCTTCAAGTCTAGAAAGGGCTGTACAGCCTAGAGCATGGGGCTGAGGATGAGAAAACAGCTAAGCTTGGTGCCTGGTGCCTGATCAGACGTTGTCACTGGGTAAGGCTGACAGAGGGGAAGGCCTGTCTCTAGGACAGCAATTCTCAACCTGTGGGTCATGACCCCTTGGGGGTTGAATGGCCCTTTCGCAGGAGTCACCTATCAGATATTTCCTTACGATTCATAACCATAACAAGATTACAGTTATGAAGTAGTAAAAGAACATAATTTTATGGCTGGACATCACCACAACATGAGGAACTGTATGAATGCTCTGTGAACAACAGTATTAGGAAGGTTGAGAAGTACTGGTCTAGAATAGAATCAAACACTCCTAAACAATTTGGATTTCAGGAGCTAAACCCCTCCAGTCATACCTAAGAAAGAAAACCAGTTATTCACCCCTTGCCTCTCCCATAGGCACTTGAATGGCATCTTTGTCATTGGAATGCCCCTCTAGCTGGATTCTTTTCCTGGGCACTGCTCTTTTGTTTTAACTTCTTCAATCAAGGGAATGACTGCTGGTTTAACCACACTGAATCCAAGCAGTGGGGCTGCGCTAAGAATGAGTCACAGTATCCTTGTGCTTTCATTCTGAGTTCTTATCAGTAACTGACTTCAAAGGGGGAGCAAACGCTTCCCGTACAAGGCCAGTGCCTACCAGAGCAGAGATTGTAGTTCCTTTTCACCTGCCACCAACACTGAGTGTGTAACAGGAAGTTAATCCTGCTTGGACAGATGAGAAATTCCCTCCTTCCCCCGGGAGTTTTGTGTGCTGCAGCCAGCCTTCAATGGCCACTTCAGAATGAACTTTGAACCAGTTTCCTGCCAAGTTTAATCAGTGATCAGGCTACCATAGTAGCCAACTTGAACTTAAAAATTGCAGATCTGTTCATACATAAAAATCTGCATTCCTAACTCAAATTTTTAACTTGAATGATGTGTAAGTGTAAGAAGTATCCGTTGGTTTTACTTCTTTTCACATTCTTATCCTCACAAAGAAAAGTGTTTTATATATGTATATATAATATATGTATATATATTATTATATAATATATGTATTTGTACATATACATATTAAAAAATAATATTGCCAACCAAGTCACCATCCAGGATTGGGAAAGAGGACTTTGTCACCTACCCAGGAGCCCTTGCATGTTCCTCATTCAGTTTCCACCCTTCCCCACCCCTCCCCCAGAGATAATTACTGCGGTTCATGTAACTAAGAAACTCAGTCTCTTGTGCTATTTCATTTTAATTAACTCATATTTTAAAGTCTCTGTGGCAAGTGATTGCCGTGCTGCATGAGGCAGGTGTGGACTGGAAATGCCGTCTGTAAGGTTCCTGCTGGTAATTCTTACATTTCTCTTTAGGAGGACATTACCGATATCCCGAAACTTGCAGATTATCTCAAGCTATTTAGGTAAGTAAGTTGAAAGGGCACAAGAATGCCTTGTAGCAGACCCCCACAAGTAGGGCCTGGGATTGGGTGTAATTGTATAACCAGCGGGCAGGTTCATGGGTCAAAGGCGGGCTCTGGCTTATGGGCTTTGTCACAAGAGTTGTTGAATGAGTTGAACCTTAACCCCCGCCCCATGCACTGGCCGCCTTGAGTGGAGATTTTACGACTCTGAGCTTTAGTTTCCCAAGCTGTAAAGTAGGGGTATGCCTCTTCTTGAGTTTGTTGGGAGCACTGGATCAAATGGGGCATTTGAAGAATGTAGCCTGGTGCCTGGCACATAGATGCTCGCGGACCAGTGGTATAAACATGAACAGGTCAGCAAAAACGAGCATCTATATCACAATAGCCTTTCTGCTAGGGTCTGCTTAGGAGGCTCGGGACCCTGACACCACCGGAGAGCTGTTTGGCAGTGTAATCCCAGTCTGTTTCTGTTCGTTCCTGGGCCTCCATTCACCTGCTCAGTGTTGGTCAATCTTCTGCCGTCTCTGTTTGTTTTAATGGGTGACTGCCACCCTTGTGATACTGCCAAGGAGTGCTAAGGTGAAAGAAACAAAGAAGTCACTGTGTCGCTTTATGGTTTATTGACTTTTCTTAACAAACCAAAACTTCACTAGGGCACCTAGCCTTGAGAGAAATGCAAGTTGCTTTTGACCACACAAGAGGCAAAGAAGGCCTTGCAAAGACTGACTGGTGAATGGAGTCTCCATGAGAAGCAAGGGTCCAAAGATGTCATTTGTCACTGGGTGACTAGGGTTGCTTTGTTTGGTCTTTTGTTATGCTGACAGGGTATGGTCTCGGGTCTCTCCTATGGCACGAGAAGGTGTAACTACAATTGATCAGTCTGATGATACCCAGAGCTTCAGGGGAAAGAGTAATTTGATGTGGCAAATTATAGCCTCAGAAAATACGTAAAATTATTTCACAAAGAAATTTAGTTTTCATAGTCTCTGAGGACAGTATAGCCGGCACATCACGAAACAAATGAAGGCAGCCCCTTCTTGTAGGCATTCTAGTGCTGTACAAAGGGATGACGTGTTGAAAACGACCTGTGTCCTGCTGCCTGGTGGCTTTACTTTTCAAAAACAAGTATCCCACACTTACCATCACTTGTAAGCCACCACATGCTTCCAAAGCAGTTTACACACTGTTTCTCCCTGGAGGGACCAGTGATTGTGCAATGGTGATAGAATGACCAGGTTTTGAAAGATAGGAATGTTGTGAAGGTGGCATTTCTTAATTTTTTTTTTTTGTATTTTATGTATGTGAGTGCTTTGACTGCATCCGTGTGTGTGTGTGTGTGTGTGTGTGTGTGCGCGCGCGCGCATACCTGGTGCCCACACAGAGGCCAGAAGAGGTGTCCGAACCCAAGGAAATAGAGTTGCAGGTGATTGTGAGCTACCATGTGGGTGCAGCAAGTGTTCTTAACTGCTGAGCCAACTCTCCAGCCCCCAAAGATAACATTTTTAAAATATTCTGCAATGTTTCCATGGCTACCTTGCTGCCAATAATCATGCCATGTATTCAAGAGACAAATGCCGAGGGTGGTGGCACACACCTTTAATTTCAGCACTCAGGAGACAGAGACATGCAGATCTCTGTGAGTTCAAGGCCTACCTGGTCTACAAAGCAAGTCCCAGGGCAGCTAGGGCTGTCACACAGAGAAACCCTGTCTCAAAAAAACCAAACCAGGACGACTGTCATAGCTCTAAAACAACAGATTTACGTAAGTGGAAGGCAGAAGGAGCATGATGGTATGATCTGAACAAGGATATGGGTGAGGCCTAGGGGATACAGAGCTTCTGTATAAGACAAGGACGTCCTGGAGGTCTCCAAGGCAAAGAGGAATCGGCTAAGAAAACTAACTGCTCTTGCACTGAAGAGAATGGTGATAAGCAATGCACGAGGAAACTTGGACAGGTTTCTAACATACATGTGGCGTTGAGGGTGATGATTTCACACTGGTACCCTGAAATTCATCCAGATTTGTATATTAAGTGTACAAAACTCTTTACATGTCAAAAATAAAATTAAAAACTCTTCAATCATAACCATTCCTGATTACAGTACTAAAATAGTAAGTTTTAGACTGTTGTCTCAGAGTTTCTGTTGCTGTGAAGAGACATCATGACCATGGCAACTCTTAAAAAGGAAAACATTTAGCTGGGTGGCTCCCTTACAGTTCAGAGGTTCAGTCCATTGTCCTGGCAGGAAGCAAGGCAGAGTGCAGGCAAACATGGTGCTGGAGAAGGAGCCGAGATTCCTCCATCTTGAGCTGCATTCAACAAGAAGTGGTCTGAGACACTGGTATGGCTTGAGCACATAAGAGACCTCAAAGCCCACCTCCACAGTGACACATTTCCTCTAACAAGGCCACGCCCATTCCAATAAAGCCAGACCTCCTAATAGTGCCTCTCCCTTTGGCGGCCATTTTCTTTCAAACCACCCACAGCTGGCACACACAGTAATGCATTGTGCTTCCTTCCTACGTAAGTGTCATTATACTTTCTTCTCATTCATTCCCCCCACCACCCACCCCCTAAGGTAGTTTTACAAACGCAATAATGGCTGAGGATAGAGTTCAGTGGCAGAGTGTCTGTCCAGTGTGCCAGGTCCTGGTTCAGTTCTCAAAACCAGAAAAGGAAAAAGGAAAGGAAAGGAAAGGAAAGGAAAGGAAAGGAAAGGAAAGGAAA